TCCCTGAGGGCAACTATCATTCCCACTTAAGTGCAGGAACACACTGTCAGTATTACCCGTTCAGCCCATGTCAGCATTAGACAGCTGCAGAGGAATAAAAGAGTCTGAGGAAACGCAGCTACAGCTAACGTGTCTAACACATTCCTGCCCATTAGAAACACAAAGAAGCCATAAACTCACTTCATACATACACATACCACCAGCAGCACGAGAGAAAGAAGCACACATACTGCTGCAGCTCTGCTAATGACATGCGGGTGACTGCTGTGTTCACCATATGACCGGCAGGCAGCTGAGCCCTGCTAACAGAAACAGCTCCTCTCACTGCTGCACATACTGGTCCGTCTGTGTAAAACTCAGGTGACTTTAAGAAATGCTCTTTGTTGTCAGCAACAATACACACACACACACACACACACACTGACGAAATAATGCAACCGAAGCTATAAACAGCATTATATAAACATTAGCAATTAGCATACAATGATTAACTTATTTTACCATTGGCTATTTTCTAATTGAGTGTCCACAGATGATACTTTAATATGAAGATCAATAATAAAATCCAAGAGCAGCACATTGTGCGCACATTTATGTTGTTAATCCTGCAGAGTCACATGTCTTCCACCAGTGGCCACTGAGTGAATCCAACCAGTCCAACCAGAGCTGTTGGTACAGTCCATACCGGTTCTCTGTACGAGTAAAGGTGCAGCGACTACAGAGTATTCAACCCCGTAAGCCACAGAGTCAATATTCTCACCTGCAAAAATCCCCAGATGTAGGCAGGAACAGATGAAAACACTGAAACACAATAAACCTGCAGCTCACTAATCCAGAGTGAAGACTGAAAACTCAAATACTGACAGAGTGCTTCTGCATTAAAGAGAGAATAACACACATATTACACTGAAACAGTGACGCTGACTGTACTTAACCTGGTCTAAGAGTTATGAACCTGCAAGAAGTGCAGCATTCATTTTAGTCACAGTAATACCCTGTGACCTCTCGGTCAAAGTCCCACCTTTAAAATATAACTAGGGCCCAGTTCAGAGTTTAAACGACAGAATTAAGAGATGCTAATACATACTTACACCAAATGTACAGCTTAGCCAAACATTTATTGTAACCTTACCTTAAATCTTTACTCGAGGCATGTTTAGTTATTATTTTAGATTTTAGAAAGTTGCTTTATATTGTAAAGTAAAGACACTACAATACAATAGAAAACCCAACAATTAGACCGTCCCCTATGAGCAAGCACTTGGTGACAGTAGGATGGAAAAAACTCCAGCACTTCCAGGTTGAGGGAGGAGGGGGGGCATCTGCCACGACCGGTCAGAAGGGTGAGGGGGAAGAGAGGAGAAAAAGGGAGAGCATAGGGAGACGGGACAAAACACTGACTATAGAAAATTTAATAGCATCCAGAAATGGAAAGATACAAGCATCACGGGATGCAGCCTGAGCCGATTGCAGCATAACTACAGGGATGGTTCAGAGTCACCTGATCCAGCCCCAACTATAAGCCAGAGCAACAAAGGAAGTTTTAAACTTAAACTTAAACTAGTGGAGTCAAATTACCTGTTAGACTCAGGCCACAATGATACTGAGGTAGATAAGGAATCATTAAAAACTGCAGTGTGTCAGCAGTGTGTCAGCAGTATTAAACAGACGCCTTACGCAGCAGGTTTGTGTGCATGTTACATAAAAGAGGACTGATTTTAATAATAAACCACATTTTTTGTGTTACTGGATTCCTGTTGTTCAGATTTTTTAGATAAAGGCTGAAACCTGTGTCTGCAAAGCTGAGGACAGCAAAGCATCAGTGGATATATCGTTTCCTTATAGGTGGAAACCGACTCAACTGGTAGCGGCTGACTGGAAAACGAGATTTTGGCACCTTAAACGCAATCTGAGAAGAAGAACAATAAAGGAAATGGACTGTGTGAAGGAAAGAAAAGGCAGAAAGAGGAGAGTGTGCGAGGTTCAGGCTGTGCATACCACGCATCGTCCAAATAATTGAATTAGGTTCAAGTCAGCAAGTCTCAAATTCTGCGTTGATTTCTCCAGAGAGCAAATTACACAATGATGATCATTATCAGGCAGACACACACACACACACACAC